GTTCTATTCCTCTTACCTCTTGTCACTACAACCTGCCAGCAGCAATGCAACATTTTCCAATACTTAGCAACTTACTCGAGAAAAAACTTTCACAGGCCCGTACTTGGGTACCACGCATACTTGATGTCTGAGTTTGAGCTTTTTGAGACTTACGTGGACCGGAAAAATCCTCTTAAAATTCCAGTCTTCTAGCTTTTCAGGTTCTTGAGTTAGGGACTTACCCGCGAAAAACTTTGGTGAGCCCTCACGTAGGTACTACGCATACCCGAGGGCTGGGTTTGGACTCATCGACGTGGGTGGGGAACATTCCCTTAAAATTCCAGCCTTCTAGCTTTTCAGGTACTGAGTTAGCAACTTATCCAAAAAGAAAACTTTGGCGGGCCCGTACGTGTGTACCACGCGTACCCGGCGACTGGTTTGAAGCTCATTAAGACTTACATGAACAGGGAACTTCCCCATAAAATTTCAGCTTTCTAGCTTTTTCTGATTCCCGAGTTGGCGACTTACCCGCGAAAAACTTCCACGGGCCTATACTTGGGTACCACGCATACCCGGGGGCTGAATTTAAGCTCACTAATACCTACTTGAATGGGGAATATCCTCTTAAAATTCCAGCCTTTTAGCTTAACAGATCCCCGAGTTAGGAATTTACCCGAAAAAAAACCTTGGCGAGCCCTATATGGGTGCCACGCGGGTAACAGCGTCCATTTCGAAGATGGGTGCCTGTACACGCATGTAGATTAAGTTCCCCAAGTTTCAGCCCCGTAGCTTTTGTGGGTCTTGAGATGAAAAATCGGTACAGACGCGCAGCGCATACACAGACACACAAACACATAGATACACACACACAGTTAACCTCTCGTCAGTGTGCGTTTTCTGCATTGCATAGCTGCAAAAAACACACAAAAATCAGTACAGACGCACACAGAGACAATCTCTCGGCAATATGCATTTGTAAATGAAAAAAAAAAAAACCGCATAAAAATCGTTGACGATCCACGTCCTTTCTTCGTCTGCTTTTAGTGTGGAGGCTTTGTTCAGTTGCTAAACTAGTCTGAATTTGTCTTTTTTTTTTTTTTTGTTTTAAACCCAGCAGCAATTGCCTGGTGAGCAGAACTGCGCGAAACGCATTTTTGCACTGACTACCTTAGTGCGTGTCGCTATTTCGATATATCATCACTAGCATCTTCTTTAAAAACCGTGTTCGCTCCGGTTCATTATCCTCATTGTTGTTCCCAGATATACTTCCTCGTCTGGAATTGTCACAAATTTCATCAGTGTTGAGAATTTCTCTTTGGTTCTTGATTCCTGCTAATTTCTAAAAATGTTACAGTAGGATTAAGAACCAACTTTTATTTGATCGGCACAGCCACAATAGTTTTAGAGTTCTCGTGCGTGCAAAGCTTCTTGTAGATTGCCATTTAAACCTGTAATAAAAAGCAGTAGGTTGCTCCAGATAATCCATTAAAATCAAATGGCTTTTTGGTGCCTGCCGTTATTTATAATTCTTGTCTTGATTCGGTAATCCTGGTACTCGCTGATAACAGAATGGAAGAGTTGGCACTCCTTTCCTTCTGGCGCTTTTGGTTTTTCGCTTTTTCCCGGTCACTGTATGACAAGCACGACAGTTTTTTTGGTTATGATTTAATAGTCATATCATTAATTTTGTAGTACATTGTCGTAGACGGAAAGGCATATTCGAGTGGATTTCATCGTAGCGATGACATGCGAATCGGCGAATAATTTTAGGTACTTTTTTCAAGTTATGATAATTGCTGGAAATGTGCCGTAAAGTCTTGAACTGTGTGTTAAGGAGATGCGAGAGAGAGCGTGAAAATGAAAGCGAGAAGGGAGAGGTAT